GATTCAGACTGAGCTTTCACTTTGGGAATTGGAACATCCCATTTCCCTGCTTTTTCCTTCCTTTTCTGCTTTATCATGTTAGACAAAACTTTGGCTCGTTTCTGAGTTTCACGATCCAAGAGATATGCTGGAACTGCTCCTTCTTCAACCTTGTCTTCCTTCTTTTGCCTATTCATCTTTTCTTCAAAGCTCTTGAGAGTTTTCTTCATTTGCACTTTCTCTGCATGACGCTTTTTGGCAAACAACTTCGCCTTGATGCCCCTCAACTCCTTGGCTAACCTGGCCTGACGCTTGGGTTCTCGTGCCTCCTTCTTCCGCTTTCTTGTGTGGTAGTTCAAGCGGTACCCATACCGCTTGCGGTGAAGTTCAATGTGCTCGTTCTGAGGCATGATGGATGCCCTTGAACGATCACAGAGTCAGAAGAAGAACCTGTGACCCCTGTGGTCTACGAAGATGAAAAGATGGAGTTAATTAGCTTATAAGTTGACAGTAACTATCGTCCAATCGAACTCATTCCTAGACTTAGAACGACTTGGTCTAGCTGAAGCGGAAAATACAGAACGAGACCAAAGAACCTGGGGGTAACAGTTAAGTGCGTACCCCATAGAGAAATTGCACTCTCCCAACTCAACTGGACAAAAGCCACATCGATTGGGATTCCTTTTATTTAACATATACACTAACCTAACCTAACCTGGCCTGGCCTAACTAAAGACAACACAATATCCCTTGGGGGTACGCACTTCACCATAACCAAGCTGGGGATATTCAAGGATCTCTTTGTCGCGAATCGATCAAACGCTGCAAGGAGAAAAGAATATTAACAGCTTGCTAAAACAATGTTTTCTGCAGCTACGCAGGAGACCTATGAACCACAACAGCTAAACCATGTCCAGTAAGTGTAAACTGTTATCAAGCGAAATTCTCACCTTGCAACCCGTCACCACCCTCTGCAGGAAAAGAAGGATACAAGCACACTCGAATGCGATCTGAGGCCTAAGAATTTTTCCTAAATTTTTTATTTATTTTGTATGTATATGGGATACACCTCAATTTAAAATGCATTTTACAAGCCACTGATAATTACCGCTTGAAAGAAACTTACATTCGATCTCTATAGGTCAGAAATGCCTTTTATTTGAAATCCATGATTTAGTTTAATGGTGTCGTACGAACGACGATGCTCAGGAATCATGGCCGCGAAGAAAGAGCTCATGCGGTTGGAAGCCGATATCGAGAAAAACCGAGAAGAATGTAATTGGGAGAGAGTCACTGACTTAGCAAGGCAGCGCTTCAATAAGAACCAGAAAGAGAAAGGTTAGGAATTCGACCGTCTCATCAGACTTAAATTGAGGCGTGATTTTGGCCTAACTTTAGGCTGGTAGATATTCATGATTTGGATGGCAGTACTGTTACACACGTGTGTTGGGCAATTATCGTTGCAGATGCATTGTCCGCATTCCTTATCGGAGAGGGAAAACTGGAGTCTTACTTGGAGAAGAATCCCCCGTCCGAGGACAAGTATCAGTGTGCTAGAGGATTTTTGGATGAAGCGAGATATTTCCTTTCTCAGTCTATCGGAGAACTTGGAGTAAAAGTGAGTCTTGTGATTATCTTAGACCTTAGGGTAGGCCTGGACCTACAGATGTACATGGTCATTTTTAAACAAGGGAACCCCTGGAAATACGTCTTTAGCAGTTAGTACAACTCTGCAATAGACATTGTCTATTGCGGAGTTGATATTCTTTTTATAAGTATAAAACAATTGTTTTATACTAATCAAAAGATTAAAAAGTTATATAAGGCTTTCTGTAAGGTAAGTGGGTTCCACTTGGAACGCTGGGTAGCAAGTTATTGTTGTATTTATGTTGTGCTTTGTTACTATTGGAATGGGGTTTAATTGGTCTGCTGGACACCTGCCTGTACAGGTGGATACTATGTAGGGTACCTTGACTGGAGCTGGTAGACAATGTGGCTACCATAACCCATGGCATGAGTTATAAACCACTCATTTCAGACATCCCCAAAGGAAAAAGTCTAATGGGGTGAAATTCAGACCTTTTCTTGATTTGAATAGTCACCCATTTTCTTCATTCATTTGAAACAGAAAGCAATTGTTAGTTAACCCCAAATACCTATAAGTGTGGACATTTGAGACATCCTGTATAAGTGATGTGTAGGTGTGTGTATAATGTCCAATAACCTATGTTAGTTTGAAAGTGGAGTAAAATAGAACAAAGTGTCTTCAAGTAATGAGCACCAAGCTATCACCATCTTGTCGCTGCTCAAGCATGGGTTCCAACATCCCAACCAAGATTTCACCTTAGTCACCACTTTAGAAATCCTTGGTGGGTGCTTTGACTCCTCAAAATATTGTCAGCATCAACTTATGGCATCAGTTTCCAATTTTCTAATTAGGAATGACATGCCTTTTGGGCAGCAAGATATTAGCTGCACCTGTGCACTTCCATAAGCAATTACATTTATCTGAATGAAATATAATGAAAACTAAGCTTTCAAAAATAATTCATGAAAGATTTATGAGGAGCTGCCTCATTGGCTGGAATTTTTTCAATGAAGTAAATTTAAAATATTCATTATTTCATATTTTGCTTGAATATATCTCTGACCCCCTCTAATCACATAGAAAGTCCAGACTGTTCAATTTTTGAAGCAACCATTCAGAGAATATTTTGTGATATGATGTGATGTTCCTTTTTTTTTTTAAAGAAAAAATAGACTTGGGTACATGTGGTACCTGTCATTAGTGGTAAAATAAATGTGGGTCTTTATTGTAAGTACACATTTATCTTGGTAATCTTTCTTTTGATAGAGTGGAGGAAGTCAAAATTGTTAAACATTTTGAATGTAATTTTTTGGCAGCAGTTTGTTGCCCTCTGGGAATTGGCCCTCCATTGCTTTGATATGAGAGATATTGCAGACTCCTGACCTCTTGTCTTTACAGGCATTCACCACCTATGGAATTCCATTAGCCTCTTTTAGAAACCATAGATGCTGTAGCACACAAATTGAGAATTACTACCTCAGGGAGTAGAAGAAAAGGATCCTACTCCCTATGTTGGTGTTTCCTGAATAACAGCATTCAATAGATTTTCATTCAAATTTTGTCTTTTACCTTCACCGGGCACTGATTGCATTGAGCCCTTGTCTTTTTTTATTTATTTTAGTCTAGATTCACATGATAGTTTCTGTGATGTCAGTAAGTAGGTACATGGGCTGCCATAGGGTTTTGGGCATACTCTTTTGTTGCTCATGTATTCTGGTACAGTTCCTGGGACTTGTGTAGGCTTTTCATGGGCTGATTGTTGATTGGCTATGTTGACTGGATAATATTATTTTGAGAAATTTAATTTTGCAGTGTGGTGTAGCAATGGATGCACAGATTCTTCTGGCAAAACTCTGCTATGCTGAACACAAATTTGAGGAAGCCCTCAATTTCTACTCCAAAGCTGGACTTGATAACCTGACAGAAAAGGCTCTACCACTGCGCTCACTGAGGATGATTGCTGAAGCTTATTCCATCAAAGGTAAACTGTGTTTTATTACTAACTTTTGAGTGCCACTTATATGTGTCCCCAATTGAAAATTGTCTGATATTACTTATATTTGTGAGATACTTTACTATGCTGTATCATTCCTTTTGCAATGTTCCTGGAGACAGACTCCTTCCATGTGTTATCAGGAACTCCATCTCTTTAAACATTCTATTGTTTAAATAAAAGTGAATACTTTGGTTACAAATTGACCCTGTGGAACTTAGGAGGTTTCTGATTTCTTTAGGGCTTTGAATTTATAATTTTCATGGAGAATTGCTTTATCTGCAGAGGACCAATATCATAGCAACATTACTGAATCCCCACATGCAGTGTAATAGCCAAGTGGCTGCACTTCGCATTGCCAATCTAATTGAGGAGTAAGGCTTAGTTCATACTTGTGCAGTACAGCACATACAGCTGTGGTAAAATCCAATCCAACATGAGCATGTTGGATTGGACAGTATGCTATACAACGCAAGTATGAACTCGGCCAATGTGATATAGTTGTGTTATATCAGCTACATTATGGCAAGGGTTTCCTTATGAGCAAGACTTTATCATGCAGACCTCCAAATATTAGTTTATAGTGGCCCCTTTCTCAAAATGATCTGCAGTAAGAGGTTTAGTTGCATATGGAACTCATGATTTGGTTAGAAACAGGCATTGTTCATTTAAGAAATTGGAGTAACTGTTTTTGTATCATATCTGCATGTTTAGCAGTTGGTTGTCTTTGCGTGTTGCATTTCTAATCTAGGTCGTTGCTTGGAGAAGCTGCCACCCCCAAGCACTAGCAAGTTCAGGCAAGCTGAGAGATTAGAACAAGTCCTTGCATGCTATGAGAAAGCAAGTAACCTTGCCCTTGTTTATGTTCAAGAGGTGGAGAAAAGTTTCCTTGCATCCTCATCAGCTACAGCTCCTACAACTGGGACGACATCTGGTTGGATTACTTTCCTTGAATACCTCTGTAATTTCTTTGTATAATTTGTTAATGGCTTTCCCAAAATGCACAGATAATCCCAGAGCACAGTTGGGGGTACTGCTAGAGACAGCCCTAGAAAGAGCACCATTGTTACTCCTCCAGTCTGGTCAGCTGAATCGAGCCATTTCTCAGTATAGAACCATCATGTCATCCGTGCAGTCAGCAGCAACCCGGCATGTCAGATTGAGTCTTCTCAAGAGTTTTGCTCAAGTATTGCTTCGTGGGATCTGTCCTCAGAATTATGTGCCACCTGAGATAGTGCCTGAAAGTAAAAGCTCTGTAGATGATCTCATTCATGATTGTCACCTGAACATATTCATGTACAATCCCTTTTTTTTCCCTTTTTTTTGTAGCTTATGACAGAAAGAGTACTCTGGACAAGAACAAGAGTCCATGGCAACCAGAAAAGTATAAAGGGGCAAACATGTTTATACCTAACTCTTTTCAGGAAGAAGTCATCCTTGTACTCCTCATTGGGTTGGTGTTCCACCTTGAATTCTCCTATGTATTTATATACTTGAGATATGAGCTAATACAATACTGGTATGCTTCTTACAGAGAGGTCTTGGCTGTCAGAGAAACTGTTCTCAGTCGAAATCCAGATCATGCTGAAGCACGACAACTGGCATTTGAGACTGCTTGCTCCATCTATGACCTCCTGTCCATTGTTCTTGTGCCGTGGAAAGAAATAAGTATTTTAACTGAGGTCAGTTTGACGGAGATTGATGCAGTTGAATTGTTGAATCAGAAGGTCTAGATTTTTATCTTATAAGGCATGCCCTTTCTCTTCCTCATTTCCTACAGTTATTTGAACGTGCGATGAAGTTCTCATTTGAAGAGAAGCACATCTGGTCTCAGTTTGCACTCTGCCTATATAGCAGTGGATTGTATCCCAGATCTCTTGCCACCCTGAAGGAGGCAATCAGGCTGTCTCCTTCTGCCACTCATCTTCATCTTCTTGCTGCCAGAACTTGCTTTGAACATTTGAACCAAGTGAGAAATACCATAACTCTATGGTTATGCCATAATTTTACTTCTTAGCAGCATTTGAGGGAGCAATATTGCTTGTACAAATTATACAATACCTTGTTCTTTGCATTCTTGTGTCATAAATGACTGTAACAAGTAGCATCGTTTCCTAATGACTGCTTGCATTATTTTGTAAAATATTCATTTAGGCAGCCAATTGCTTTAAGTGATTGAAAGGAGGAATCAGCACAAAGAAATGTAAAAATACAAAAAGGAATCACACCAGTCTCAACCAACATCAAGGAAAAAAGAAAGGAGGAAATGTCTTAAAAAGTTCAAAAAAACATGGTGGACAAACTGGAGAGAGAGGATCTGTACTCTTCTTGAAGAGCCTCCAATCTGAAAGCTTTTGCTTTACCTCTGTCTTGATGTTTGCTATCTTTTTCCCTATCATTGTATGTTCTCTGCCCTTTTTAAAACTTATTTGCCTGGTTTGTCTCTTCTTTCTCTATTGGTGTAACTTGAATCAATCAGTTGCTGTCTAAAATTGTGAATAGTCAGTTATAATTATGTCCCTAAGTCACCCCCCAAATGGAAGGTGTTAGGTGTGGATGATGAATTCGTCATCAATGCCAATATCCATGGAGAAGTAAATTGTGAAGAATCATATGGTAATGTTAGGTGATGTGATGTGGCAGTATACAAAGTGCTGCTCGTTGTCAAGCAATTGAGTTTCAGATACCCCTTGTCACACTTTGAGAGGGAATTTTTGAGCCAATTTGAATGTTCTCTTAACATCCTGAGTATTTATGTCAATTCTATCTTACAGGTGGATGAAGGACTGCAACACGTACACAATGCTTTGAATTGTGAACGAGAGAAGAATGAGGAGTTCATGGGCCGGTGCCTTGTTTACAAGGGAATTGGGATCTATATGAAGAGCCGAGCACAGAATCTGCACCAAGATAGAACTAAGCTTCTTCAAGAAGCAGAAGAATGCTTCCTCAAAGCAGCTGCTGTTGATGAGGGTGATCATCTAGTACAATTTTATGTTGCTCTATTGGCAGCCCACCATCGACGGGTGAGAGTCTTGTCATGGTGTGTTTGTGTACTACACCACTTTCCCTCATTCCTATTCAAAATCACAGTGTTTTCCCTGGTCTACCTTCATATAGACCCTAGGTGGTTCTTCCTTTTCCCCATTCTTCTGGTTGTCAAAAATCTTCCTCATCCCCTTCCCCTGATAAGTAGCCCATCTTTTGGATTTAGCTGCATCAAATACCCAAAGCATGTGCCACAAGATAAGAACAAGACAAATTTAATTTGTTCCCTGTGATGATTTAAGCTCCAATTTTTGCATCCAGGAGTGTCAAATACACAGCAGCAGTGAAAGGAAAAGGTTATTGAGAGCTAAGGAAATCTGACAGGAGGAGAATGTTCTGGGGCAGCAAGTACAGGTTTACATAATCAAAAATGCCTTACTTCTGTATAGATATTTTCTCAACAGCATGGTCCACAATGATTAATTGTTGATCCTATCATAGAATTTACCATTAGCCTATTCAATTATCTTATGGGGGAAAATGTTTACCATGAAACTTACCATCTTGGCTCCATCATGCATGCCCTTGATACCTAACTGCCCTTTCACCTTTGCCATGCATTTGATGAGATAAGATAAGTTGTTTGTAGAGGGGAGAAAACCCACCACATTTCCTGCACATGCAAGTTGAAACCTTTGTCTTGCATTTATTTTGTTGCAAGAAAATGTAAAATTTTCCGAGTCTTTTGATATCCTGTCAGCTAGTATGGAACTGTCAACTCTTCAACCTAACATAGTTGGTGATTTCTCGCTATGGAATGTCCAGGTGCCTATAGCATGAAGAATCCATCACTTTTAAAATAAAGCTAAGGACCTGATCAGGTCAAGCAAGCATTTTTTTTTAGCCAATATTGTCCTGTTACTTGGCTGCTTTCAGATGATTCTTCATGGTAAACTCTAGCAACACAAGCTGCACATGTCACAGCTCACATGAGTGAATTATATATTCATTGGCATATGTCTATCCACACCTGCCCATTTACTGATGGCCCATTCAAGCATGCACCTGATACTAAGTTTAATGCTGGGGCAAAAATGAAAATCTATTGTTCTAACTGGGAAAAGCTGGCAACTCCAGGTTGATAGTCTAGCAGAATGTGCTGAAATATGGCCTTTTATTTTTAGAAAGATAGAATGCTGTCATTGTCATTCTTATCATTTTGTATTCACTAGGCATTTAAAAATCTATTTCCCTTTCAGATTTCTGAAGCAGTAAGCCATGTAAAGGTGGCACTCAGCCTTCGTCGGGATCACCTACCTTCCTTGCATCTGTTGGCCCTCCTTCTGTCAGCGCAGAATGATAATGTGGAAGCCTTATCTCTGACAGAAGCTTCTTTGAAGGAATATCCAAATTCCATGCCTCTCATGTACCTAAAAGCCATTTTGGAGGAAAAGGTTCGAGGGCCAGAAGTTGCATTACTGACAGCTCGTAAAATGCTTGCTCACTGGAAATGCATCTTTGAGAAGCAGAATTCTGGCAGTAATGAAAACAAGCGTCAGGACTCAGGCTTGGACAGCATTTCCCTAAATGGAGAGATGAGAGACCGTGACACAAGTAGGTTTTATTTGTTAATATGCTAATTTTTTTAGGTTGACCTTTGAAAGCATGGGAATTCTTTTATTTCAGTCTCAGTGACCGGAAGCATGGCAGGCACAAGTCATGTTGAGCAGGCATTGTCAGAGGTGGCATCTTCTTTATCCAGTTACCAGCCAAAACCAGGACCTCAGGGAGTGTGGCTCATGCAGGTCACACTGTGGTTACTGACTGCAGAACTCTACCTGAATCTCAAGCAACCTGCAGTGGCAATGAATTGTGTTATGGAGGCAAATGCCATCTTTCCTCTTTTTCCCTCTCTCATGTACATGGTGAGAGCATGTGTTTTTTTATTGTGAAGAAACAAAATGCAACAATTATTTTCTGTAACTTAAAATTATAAATTTTATTATAAATGTCTACCATTTCAGCGTGGTCTGATTCATGAAGCCAAGGGAGAATTTGAAGAAGCTAAGCAGAGTTTCTTGAACTCTTTATCCATCCAACCAGGACATGTGAGAAGCCTTCAGCACCTGGTAAAGTTATTCATCTTTAGATGGAAGCTAATACTTACAATGCATATTGTATGAATCTGATGTTCCAATTTTACCCATGCTTTATGGACAGGGATTAGCCTACCTCCAGCTAGATAGTCCCCGGTTAGCAGAACAAACGTTACGAGAAGCAGTGAGACTGGATCCCTTTGACCATCGTGTCTGGTATATAACATTTTTTGGCACTTTTTTATCCAAGCTATGGTGGAGTTCAGTCTTTTTCCTTTTTTTCAGGTACACACTTGGACATGTGTTGGACCTTCTTGAAGAAACTGAGGCAGCTTGTGATTGCCATGCAAAAGCTCTTCAATTAGAAGCCACAGCCCCTATTCTCTCATTCTCTGTGGTCTCTCTTGCCTTTGACTGAGGAAGGCTCCTCATTATTCTCATTCTCTACTCCTTTCCTTATTTTAATTGACTTTGTTCTTCCTCTTGTCTCTCTGCTTCTGCAAAACCCATACCCTTATACTGTACTATGCCTTGGTGCATGGGTGGTAACTGATCTCAGTGCAATATTATGGAGTGGATTATAGTTCTAGTCAAGTTATGGAAAAGTATTTTTCATGGTGCATATCAATATTCCCCTCAGAGTCATTCCATGCTGGTTTTCATGATCGAACACAAATGCATCTCATTTGCCTCTGTTGCCATATTACCTCCAGATGAATAATAACAATATGATGATACTATGATAGAATGAATATACTTCATTCTGTGAATTTGGTAGCTATTCCTAATGCTGCAAAAATGTATTATTCAAGGACTTGAAATAAAATTTTCATGTCTCTCCTGTTTATGATGCCATTTATGAAGTTGGGTTGTGACTGGCTGGGTTTGTATTTTCAGTAATGCTCATTCATCAAGTAAGTTCAGAAAAGTTTTCTTCATGCACATGGGAGGCTCTAGTGAGTCTTTTCCCCCATCAGCTACCAGCTGTTTCAGTAGAGGATTCATGCATTTGCTTCCTGCTGTTACTCACCATAACTTAGGAAGTCATAGAACCCCAGAGCTAAGCAAGGCTGAGTTGAGCTTATTCAGCCAATAGTGTATTGCTATGGCTACTCCTTGCCTTGAGAGCTTACCCATTTGTTTATAGTCTCATGGGAAATATTCCATGTCTTCCAAAAGTGAATGGATTTGAAAGAATGTGTCTGAGTGAGGTTTTATTATTGGAGATTCAGATAAAAGAAGGGCACATTTTCAAATTTTGAGTTTTTTTAGATATTCCAACTGGTAATCCTATTTCTAGATCAACAATTTTGTTTTCCATGTGAATATCCATTCTCAAGTTCATTCATCAATGGGTTTTCGGCATTATCAATACCTAGGAATATAACATTGGAGGAGAATGTCATTTTTTTAGCTTTGAGTTTTGTTAAGGTTATATTCATGGATGTCGCAAACCTATGATACCACTTTGAAGAAGATTTAACCTTTTGGGGTCCATGCCTGAGTTATCTCATGTTGGCCTCATGATGAGGGATGGAAAAAACTTGGATGACAGTGCTGACTTATCCAAAATACTCGAACCCAAAAGGATTAAGGCTGTTAGGAGGGGGGGAGGTTTGAAGTGGACATGCGAAGAGTCTCGGGTCCAAGAGAGCCTCGTTCAGGGATGGGAGCAGATGAGTGATTACAATGTTCCTTGAGCGCCGAGCTCAGGAAGCTGACGCATGACTCACGAGGTCAAGAAACGGCACTGGAGATATTTAAATCATCTTGGTCCAGCAGGAATGATAAACAAATCCTCTGGAAAATGGTCTGCAGAAGAGATTTCCATAAAATGAAAGTATCCATGTGTGCTTCACTCAGAGGAGTGGAGTCAAAAAGGGAAGGGTAAGGTCAGTAAATGGGCTATGCACTTCCAATCAATCATTTTAATTCGTGTTTCAAACGAAAATCTAACCCTCTTTCAGGCGAATTTTCTTTTTTCTTGCAAGCAAAGCCAGTTTTGTGACAAAATTATGTATGATTTAAGATGTCAGTGAAGAAAGAATTAATGTTAAAAAAAAATATTTCATGTTCTCATGACCGCGAGATAGGAGGACCGATCTCATGAGGTCTTATGCCATTTACCTCATGGAGGATCGTCATTGCTTGAAAAACCTCATGAGGTTTTCAAACAGGTCTCATGAGATCTCCCAACTTTCTCTCGAGAAATTGGTGAGGCCCCGTGAGATCTAACGAGGCCTCATAATCCTCATGAGGACATTTCGAAGTCTCATGAGAAAGTCGTGAAACCTCTAGTGTAACCTCACAATTCTCACCGGGAATTTGACAGAGTTTATAATGAGGTTTTTCAACAAGGTATGATAGGCGGCTTCTTCGTAACATGTACAGCTGAGGTATTGCATGATCACTAACGGAACGGTGACGAAAGAAAATTTGTTCCAATATGTCCTCGAGTGCAGACATTGCCTGTGAAAGGGATGTTGAACGGAAGGTTCCGAGAAATTAGATTTGATGAATCTTCAAGACCTAGATATAAGGAAGTCGAGTCGTGGAGAGGAAACTGTCAGCTGATGCTCCTATTTCATAGAGATTTTCAATTCAAGAAATGCCCTGTTCCTTGAGCTAAGGAAAGATTTTACTTTGCAAAGATATCCAAGGAGGAGGAAAGTGCAATTCACGTTCGTACTCTTGGAAAGGGAAAGTCTTGAGGTGCTCTTCAAGCTCTATTTCCTGTAAGGAAACCCTTTACTTGCAGCACCGTCAAGAGAACTTGAGAAAATATTGTACTGCTAATCTTATGTTTAGATTACGCGGAAATTTTTTATGTCCTCGAAATGGGATTGTTTGCTAAATTGGAGGCTCATGGGATTAAAGGTAGGATATATAATTGAATAGGTAGCTTGTTGTTTGGGAAGAAGTAGAGAGTAATTGTAATTGGGTAGTGTATGCAGCAGTTTGAGTCCCCCGCGGCTCCGTCCCTGGACTACTTTTTCCTGTTTAGCATTAAATGGGTTCATTATTTGGATCTTGGGGTTACAATTGGATTAAGTAACTTTACGGACGATGCACAAGTGGGTTTTCCCATCAATTGGATCGAACGAAACCGCGAGGAATGTGATGCTATTGGAAGAGTAGGGCAACAAATGAATAATGACATTTTATGTGAATGTTATAAATTCTCGCGTAAATCAGCAACGATAGGTGCCTGCGTTTGATGCGAACGTTCTTGAGGAGACACAGAGGCGTGCTAACCTAAACCAAGGTGCTACAGCTGCATCATTTTCATTAGGAGACGATGGGTGTCTTGAGTCAAAGAGGGTCCATATAATGGGCATGTTCTGAAAAAATATGCTGAATTGCCATGAAGATTTTGTTAGGATGACGTATTCATTTAGTTTGTGGAAGCTGGAGGCGGAAACTACAGCTGCTTATGAGTAGCAGCCGTCCAGATGGAAGCTACACTCCCTATTCCCGCGACATGCCCTGGCGGGAAGCGCAGGTGGTATGATGGCCGCACGCGTTTATTAGCGGCATGACTGAAACACCAGATGGGTCAGTACCCAAAAAAGACCCGCATAAAGGTCTCCGCGGGCCGCGGGTTGAGCATCACTGGTTTAGGCAATGTACTTCGTCAACGATATCAATGACCTATGAGAGTTCTATATACAGGTACTAACCTTGTGGCATACTTAATGGGAGTGGGCCATTCTATATAATCGTGGAAATAGCTTCTCCTAACTAGGTAGAATGCCAGGAGGCGGAGGTCTATTACCCTCAATGACATCCGCCCATTTTTTTCTCCCTCGCTCTTAACCTCCTGGGATCCCTGGTATAGACACTATACTCTATGGACCATACTTCATTTGTTGTAGTCCCAATGTATGGAAATCTATTTATAGTTTGATGATGATATGCATGAAACGGAGAAGTTTGCGAAACCTCATCTATATATTTTTGAAATATGCTAAGAATTATAATGACAGCGAGAAGAGCTTTTCTGTGTAGCCTGTCTGGGGGTCTCACGAGGTTAAGCCGAGCTGCATTCAGACGCTATGGTTTTGCTCATATGTGACTGCTCTAACTCGAGCTATCAGCTTGTGTTATTAAGGTTTATGAACTGATAAATACTGATTACACGAGCTCAGTTAATTTATCGAAGCCTAGCCATGGATTCTGATCGCGGCTTTACCTCGCATCCTCCCCCATCAACATCCGCAATAGCCCGGGCGTGAGTACGAAGGGGATGGCGGCGAGGAGTATCGTCATCTTCCTGGCGTGTCCTGCTTCAGGTATCTGAAAATCTCCGCGCCCCACTTTGAAGAGGGATTTACGGGTTACTATCCATGAGTGCGTGAAATTTTCAGTCCGTGTGCAGTCAATAGTATCAAAGGGTAATAGGATCCTGGTATTTCTTCGGTGTTGAATTACCAATAAGAGCTTACGCACGACGCTGTCAAAGCTTGGGAGTGTCGTATTCTAGTCCGGAAGCCTGCAAATGAAGGGGATTTAATGGCGCTGGAAAGGCTCCAGAAGCAGGCTTCTAAGTAAGAGCTGCAGGGACTGTCATTACAAGAAATGTTTAGACCAGCAATGAATGTCGGTCTGTAGAGGTATGGTAACGGAATGAACGAGGAAGATCATGCGTTCCACTGCCACCTCCCTCCCTCCGCCATTGCAGATATTAATTGCAGGAGCCCACTTCAACAATAATTTTTTTGTTTTAGTTCATGCTAATACTATGGAAATGATTTTCTACTCGTTCCCCGCTTACTTTCTTCGCTGGTTTAGACGCATTGGGATTGTATTCTCTGGATAGAAGGTTGATGAGGAGGTATCTCATTCAAGAACTTAAGGTCATCCCCAGATAGTGTAGAGTGATGAGCTTTACCAATTTGACTGTAACGGCAGGAAGAGGGTGGACTAATTCAAGTGATGCAAGCCCCTAGTAGGACATAATAGAAAATTAAAAACATTGTTGGGTAATTCGTGAGTAGAATGCTGCAGTTGATGATGCGGCCCATGTTTCTCATGTGGATATGTTTAAGAACGTGTTAGATGCCATCTGTTCGAAAACGTAATGTCGAAATCCTGTATGTCGTCAGAGTTTATGTCGACCTGCAAAGAAGTCGAATCGCACGCGATGCACAATCGTCGCATGGCCATAATGTCGATCGTTATAGTCCATCCGGTCCAACCTTACTGCACTTTTAATCCACAAAGGGGTAATTAAATGTCATCTGTCTTTCTCTCCCCTGAGGGTGGTGGCTGCCTTCCCTTTTACCCTTCCGCCAGGCAGTGGCATGTCGCTCCTGGGTGGAGGGGGCAGGCATCACATATGAATGATTTGAGAAATCTTGATAAGGCACTTCACGAGTGTCAGGAATACTTAGGTCCGCCTCTGATAACCTCCGAGCCCCCTTTGCGACGTTTTGACAAGCGGATGACAACACATAATTAATGAGCTACCATGAAACAGGCAATGCCGGAATAGCAAAGTTGGACCGGATAGACTATACAATACCGAACGCGTCGAGACGTGGAAAAACGTCGAAATATCAGGATTTCGACATCTGAATGAGCTCAGAATTATCCTGTTCCTTGGGTCCTGATATAATCTTTCAGAAGATTTTTTAACCCTTGGGGCATCCAAGATTGTCATGACAAACGCACCGCCACACAAATCCATCAGTCGAATTGGGGCAGTAATCATGACTAACATGCAATTAATGCATTCTCAGAAGGGTGGCAGAAAGTCGGCTGTGCACTCATTCACTCGTGAATAGTGCACGAAGGTGAGCGTGCATTTGAGGTGCCAGCATCGCGGTCGCCGCGTGCGAGACGTAGCGTCCCTGACGAGTTGATAAAACACCGAGGGTGCATGACTATCGTGGACCTGATCGCTCTGACACCGAGAGAGAAATTCGTGCTGGCTATAAACATTGATAAATATCGTATTGGAGACCTCATGACAGAGGCAAGAAGAGTTATTTCGACGTCGCTCTCACTCGACATATCGACTTTCGCCGTTTCATTCATTCGCCATTCGGGTATTCGACGTAATTGGCAATCGACAATCGGACTATCGGCATGTGTGGTTCCGTCGTTTTGTCGGGAGACAGATGCCTTCATGGACA